TGGGAAATTTATCAACTCGCAGTAGGGAAGTGTGTCACAGCTCAGCACGCGCCTTTACTAACTTCAAAGGCAAAACACTGCAGATGCTGAAAATCTGAAATAAAAGCTCAAAATGCTGGATATGGCAGTTTTAATAGCATGTGTAAAGAGAAAAACAGAGTTAATGTTTCAGATCTGTGACTCATCCTAAAAGTTCCATGAAAGCATGTTCTGTAAAGTGAGTTTCACTGATGGTAACCCTGACAACAAACCTCAATTGTCGAGAAAACCCATCTAGTTCATTACTGTCGTTTCATAAATGAAATCTGCCATAATATCTGGTCTGGTCTACATGTGACTCTACAGCAATGACTTCTCAATATTGTGGTTGACTCTTAACTACCCTCTCAAATTAAAGAACACAACAAGTGCAATTGGAATTGGGCAGTAAATGCTGGCCTTTCCAGTGATGCCTACGTACGGCAAAAGAAAATTAACGAGGTAGATTTAACATGGATTTTTCTGAAAATAGTTGTGTATTTAAATTCAATCTAATTAATAAAGGAAAAGTTTTATTTACAACTGAGAGATGCTTTTCAATAGGAAAGTTTTAAAAAAATTTAACTTGACATTTTGGCAAAATGTGAAAAGCAATAAAATTCATCATGCAACGTTCTGTAACTTGTCCATCAAGGATAATTGCAACAAATATGTAAGCAAAGGGCAAGATGTGTTGCAAATTGAATAATCCTCTGCCAATATACCAGTTACATTTGTTCATTTTTACATCAGTTTGCAATCTTTGAATTATTGAGGAAGCATGATGTTAAAAGCTACATTGCTAGGTACCTGAAAAACCTTTGGAAAACAATGGCAAAACATTTGAGGATGTTTCATTATCTGAACAATTTAATTCTGGCTTGATTATTGAAACAGAAAACATTTTTTATAGTTACTGTCAATCCTTGCTGTACTTCAGCATTGCACTATAATTGAATTGATGCTTAACTTGAAGTTTACAGTCGTACTGAGAGACTCCAAAGCAAATTCTGGAGAAAAGCATTCTATTCTATGGAGAATTAGCTTATTTTATTCCTGTTACATTCTACAAATTGTTTATTGAATCCATTGCCCAGTTGATTGCAGTACAAGAAATGGAATGCAAAATATTGCAAGTGAGCTTAAGTCAAGTTGTTTTTTTCAAAGCGATAATACTGGACACATGACACGCTGCTGTTGCCTCATTTCTATGTTTCCAAGCTGTTAAATCTAACTGACCCTTGGACTCAAGTTTAAGCTTGTAACACATTTTAGGAAGTAAATCAACTAGCCATCTCTGACAGACAAAAGATTGATACAAAAACCAACCCTTTCTTAGAGTTTTGCACTATTCAATAATTGGTTGCCCAAGCAGGGAATAACTGAATTATAAAACATTTGCAATAATTAGCATCCAGTGTTTCCAAAAACTTAATATTTTGCGGGAGAATTTTGAGCAGATAATGTTTGATTTAATAGAGTTTTAAGAAGATAGTTTGAAATTAAGAGGAGATAACTCTAACGACATCGAGGACTAAAAGGTTATGGTATTGAGTCCAGTGGAACTTTAAACCATTTAGAGTTTGGTTCAAATGCAGCCCAGAAAGTTTATACAAACCCAATCTCATCTAATGACAAACTGATTCAACAATGCATAACTGACAATAAAACAACCAAGGAAAAGCAATACAGTTTCAATAGCCAACTAAAATCTTCTTACTGCTTCACGTTCTTTGAACAGATTTCCTTTACACAGACCTAAGTAATTCCAATGGATCAGATCAAAGCTCTATCATCCTGTCATGTCCTCTTATGAAATGGTAGTGTGGACAATCAAACAAATTGAGGAGAAGCCTCTAAAGTCATCCCCAACAATAAAGATGGAGGAGCCCAGTACATCCATACAGAAGAGTAGGCTGAAGCCTTTGCAACTGAGTCGTTGATCTATCTCAACCTTCTGCTAAGCTCTCCCGAGTCTTCATATTCACTCCATATGAGATGAAGAAATGGCTGACGTGACTGGATATACCAAGGTTAGTGGGCATGATGATTGTTGTACATATATGTACATGCATGTGCACCAAAAATAACTGTGCCCTTCAGCAAATAGTTCATTACAGACACAATACTGGCATCTGTTGGACAATGTTCAAAATGGCCAAGTTACAGCATGTCCATGAAAAGCAGGACAAATTGTTATGAATGTTAAGTTTTATCGATTATGTTTTGGAGCTGTCTCTTTAAACAAGAGAAAATGGAGGAATGAAGGTAGTCATAGAATCACAGAATCCCTAAAATGCTCAGAGGCCATTTGGCCCATCGCGTCTGCACAATCCTCTGAACAGCGTCCCACTCTTGTGAAAAAAAATCAAAAGAACCGATGTTGCTTAAAATCAGGAACAAGCCAGAAATTGCTGGAAAAACTCAGCAGGTCTGGCAGCACCTGTGTAGAGAATGCAGAGTTAATGTTTCTGGTCCACTTCTTCAGAACATCCCAGCCAGACCCAGCTCCCCACCCAACTCCCTGTAACTCCATATTTACTGTGGCTAATCTATGGTACGTGCACAACCCTGAACATTACGGGGCAATTTAGCATGGCCAATCCACCTAACTTGCATATCTTTGGACTGTGGGAGGAAAGCCACACAAACACAGGGAGAATGTGCACGCTCCATGCAGACAGCCACCCAATGCTGGAATCAAGCTAGGTCCCTGGTGCTGTGATGCAGCAGTGCTAACCACTGAACCACCACACTGGCCATGTCACGTGATCTGCTATGAGTTCTGCCCAACAGCAAGACTGTGCAGTCGAGTTACCATGTGACAGGGAAACACAGTTCAATGGATTTTGAAATGTATGTGTGCTTTAGAATCTGAAAGCAAAAGACAAGCGGCAGGGTTGACTGTGATTAGATTTTCAGTCTGAGTTTTTGGACAGAGAGAGAGAGAGAATTTGAATATGAAAGGCTGCTGCTGGCATAGTCAGCAGAGCGGCAAAGGCTGCAAATCCTCTGCAAGCCACAACACAGGACGTGGAAGGGAAGATGGTCTCTTGTCAAAGAGATGCATTCCATGACCCTCTATGAGGCCATGAGGACACAATGAACCTTACTATTGATAGTAAGTTCAGAAATTCTCAGAATACTGAAGGAAATAGCTTTCGATAGACACAGAATATCATCAATTAATGAAGTAGGAAGATATGAACCCATTTGAATGTAATCCTGTGGAGACTGGATTGTAAAGCTTTAATATATAAATATGACTACGTATGTGGTTTGGGTTATTAGTTATGTAAAGATAGTTATAAGAGTTATCTTTCTGTAGTTTAGTTTACCAACTAGGTATTGTTTAAGAGGTAGCTTGAATTTCATCTGTTATAGTAAAATTGTTAAAGTATCTAAGATGATCACAACAAAATCCAATTCGACCAATTATTGTGTCACAGGTCACTCATTTCCCATAAGAGCTGCACCCTCTTGCATTCCAGGAGCAAAAACAGCCCACAGTAGGGCAGGAAGTGTCAAGATGTGTCGTGTTCATTCTGTCATTTACTCCTCACCCCTGATGATGAGAGGACCTAGACTGTGACCACCCCAGCAGTGCCTGGACTGGTATCAGAATCTGCCATCTACTTGCAGTGCTGGGAAGCCTGATCAAAGGTTATTCCCCTTGACTGGACCAGGGTCTGCTGATAACTGTGGCAAGATCTCTGGAAATGTGCCTGCACTAAATGGCACGACAATACAGCAGTAATATGAGCCTAGCATCTCTGTCTGAGGGAGCAATGAGCAAAAAGGCAAGACAGGAATGCGGGGAACATCATGGTAGGCCCAGAGTGAGTGAGCCCAGAGTCATAGTCTGGTGCATGTCCCTGAGAATACAGTGTAATTGCTGCAGCATTATAATGATGGGTGCCATTACAACCTGAGGTACAGCATTGAAGTGCAGAAGCGTTCTTTAAGTGGAGCAAGCAGCAAGTTAAACCCACCAAGAACCCACTCTAGTTTCCTCTCTTTTTGTTTTGCCAATGGCTAGTTTGTATGATGAGTTTGGTAAGAACATTAGTAAGGCATTTAACAAGCAGTAAAGAGCATCAATGAGGAACTCACCATTGCCTGGCAAGAATCATACCACACCACTTGAGAAAAGCAAACAAGATGCGGTGAGGTGATCTCAACATCAAAATCAGCCTCACTGAACACCTTACTCGATTCTGCCGCACATCTTAACATATTGCATGTTGCTCATACACTGGTAAGATTCAGCCTCTTATGTATTATAACAGAATTTTACATTATTGTGACAACATAAATTTACCTTGTAATCACACTTACCCACTACAAATAGTTATATAATGCTCTTAATAGTAGAAAAATGTATTCAATGTTATCCTTTCATCTGCTGGCTCCATTGTAAATGTGAGCAAAGGTATACATAATAGCAAAAGATGGTGGGAAGTATCTGTATGCATAACATATAGGTTATAAAATGCAGGGGCATCATTTTTAGATATTCTTTAATGGAATGTGGGCTTCGCTGGCAAGGTCCGCATTTGTTACTTGTTTCTTGAATTGACTGGCTTGGTAGGCCATTTCTGAGGCATGTTAAAAATCAACTCCATTGCTATGGATCTGGAGTCTCATGTAGCCAGATGAGATAAGTATGACATATTTTCTTCCATAAAAGACATCAGTGAACCAAATGGATTTTTACAAGAGTCTGCTGTAGGTTTTAATTGAATTTGAAATCTTGCAGCAGCCATAGGGTGATTTGAACCCGTGACCCAAAACAGAAGGCTGGGGCTCTGAATACTAGTCTAGTAACATAACCATTAAGTGACTAACTACTCTTGAATTTAGTATCAGGCAATGCCAAAACAGACAATTTCTTGGAAACCCTAGCAGCTAATACACAAAGAAGGAATGTTGAATTTTAATACAGTGATTGTTAGAGGTACTGTTAAATGAAGAACACTTACCCATTTTTTTCATGTAGTTTAGTAATTTCATTAGTTTGGATCATTATTTGTTTTTCCAATTTATTAGTAGAGAGAGAATTTTCCAAAAGCTGAAGCTCAAGTCTAGATGTTTGATTCAAAACCTGGAAAAATTAGACAAAATATTTATCCAAGAGAGAAAAATGATACTTAAAATGCTCAAATGCTATTTTTATTAAGCATGTTAATTGTTTCTGTTTGTTGAGTGTTTCTCTTGGCATATTCAGAATTTTTTTTAATTTTAAAAGCTGTTTTGATCATTTGTTTCAGCAAAAAAAAAATACAATAAAAATGTTTTGGTATCTGAAAATGGCAGACGTTTTATATTCATTGGGATCTCAACATTGCTTATAAAGTTAGTATTATTGTCCATCCCAAGTAGTCCCTGAGAATGGTGGAGATGAATTGCTTTCTTAAAATGCTGTGGTTTGTTCTGTTAGAGAGGAAGCCCTAAGATTTTGCCCCAGTAACAATGAAGGTTGATAAATAATAACAGTGTAGAAGCAGGCCATTCAGCCTATTGTACCAAGATGCTCCACATCATAGAATCACTACAGTGCGGAAGCAGGCCAATTGAGCCCACACTGACACTCCAAAGAGCAGCCCACCTAGACCCACCTTCCTACCCTATCCCTGTATTTCCCATGGCTAATCTACCTAGCCTGCACATCCCTGGACACTATGGGCAATTTAACATGGCCAATCTACCTAACCCGCACATCTTTGGACTGTGGGAGGAAACCCACACAGATATGGGGAGCATGCGCAAACTTCACACAGACAGTCATCCAAGGCTGGAAATGAACCTGGGTGCCTAGTGCTGTGTGGCAACAGTGCTAAACACTGAGCCACTGTCCTGTCCCAAGGAGCAAGTCACCCACTGTGGGGCTTGAAGTCATGACCCTGAGATTAAAAGTCTCATGCTCTACCGACTGAGCTAGCCAGGTCCCTCATCCCATTTCCCAAAACCCAGTGTTTTTGTATATATGGGTGTTTGTTCATTTTATGATCTCTGAAGAGACTTAAATAAAATCGAATTTCCAGTGACTAGAAAACCAAAAAGATCACCCAACAAGATTTCAAGTTTTAAGACTTTTACTGTGACAAGCAAACTAAAAGCAAATGTGACTAAAGTTTTTTTTTGTGTCATTTATACTCAAGTTATATGAATGAAATTTCCATTGATCTTTTAATACAACTGAAAATCTCTGGCCAGGGCTATAATTACATTGTGCTTTAGGGAAACACTTCATTTTTCAGGAAGCAGTCCTCAAGTTATTTTCAGCTGAATAATACTTTCCACAAGAACCAATCTAACATCACTTCCAGCTTCCATCTGGTTTTCTTCTCTCTCTGTTTCGTGTTTCACAGAGCTATGATAACATTGCTTGACTGCCAAAAGGTGCTGCTTCAGTTTCCAGAGATGTTTCTAAACAACTAACAACAGTCAGAAAATCTGGTAAATCTTCTTCCTGGTCACGGCAGGATAACACTTTCATCTTTCAGATGTGTTTCTTTGAGAAATTGTCAGTCCTGCCACATTCCACTCCAGTAGCTTGCAGAGAACACAGAGCTTTCTCTCTGTGCTGACCACAACAGCTGTCATCTTCTCCCTTTTTCTTTGTGCCCACTTCTTGGAGATTAAAATCTATCCACTTTCTGCACATGTGCTCTTGTCATTGTTTGCAGATGTGAACATATTCCCACCTTAACTACAGCAAATCGATCTGAGTCCCATTGTCCTCACAGCAACCAAGCCACCAAGGCTTCCTTTCGGGTAGAATTGGGAGCAGATCACAAGATCCCTTTTAGAACTTCATTTTACTTTCAATTAGACAGCCACTATAAAACATAACAATCTTAATAACCACATGTTCATAACAAATTCTCTTTCCAAAGCTGTGATACAGTTTGCTGATTCACACCCTCAGGCAGTACGTTCCATATCAGAACCAGACACTGTCTAAAAATGTTTTCCTCATGTTGCCTTTAGTTCTTTTATTGCTAACGTTCTAACAGTATCGACTGGTTCTTGGGCTTTTTGTCACTGGGCTATTTGTTGTGTTGACTCTTTGTGACTTTAAACACACTATCATATCTCTCATTCTTCGCTTCTCGAGAGGAAAAAGAAACAGCTTCTCCAATTCATTTACATAAGTGATGTCCCTTACCCCTTGGACCATTCTCATTAATCTTTCTGCACCTTCTTTAAAATCTTCACATCCTTCCTGAAGAGTGTCACCCATTACTGGCCGCCATACTCTAGCTGAGGCAGAACTAGTGTTTTATAAAGTTTTGCTATAACTATATACCTTTGCACTCTATTCCTCTATTTATGAAGCTCACTATTCCATATGTTCTTTTTTTAACCACTTCCTTAACATGCCCTGCCTCCCTCAAAGACTAGACTAATATCTAGAATGAGCGGATTGTCAATGAGGAAAGGTTGAACAAAGTGAGGCTTGTATCTACTGGAGTTTAAAAGATTAAGAGGCAAATTCATTAAGATACATGAGATCCTAAAGGATTTTTACAGGGTGCACATGGAAAGGATGTTTCTATGGGAGAATCTAGAACCAGCAGACACAGTTTAAAAATAAAGGGTTGCTTATTTCAGAAAGAGACAAGATTTCTTTTTCCCTCACAGACAATCATGAACCTTTGGAACTCTCTTCCTTAAAAAGCCAGCTATTTGAATATTTTTAAGACAGGAGTAGATAACCTTTCACCATCTTGCTTATGAAGAATTTATTAAGGTTTGGCACAAATATGGAATAATCAGGTCAGCCATGATCTTATTGAATTGCAAAGTGAGATTTGTTCCTGCACCCTCTTGTGTTTTTTGTTGTGTATTTTGTGTTGTCCCCCTTTGTTCTTGTTACCAAAATGTACTGCTTCTTACCTCTCTATATTAAATTTCATCTACCACACCTTTGCTGCTACATCTCCACAAGTGTAGGCGATGGTTATTTGTGCCAGTACTGTCACAGACAGGCACATTTACAAAACGTCTATTAGAGAGGATTGGATGAAGCACATTTTCTCCTCATGTCGGTTTTCTCACCACAGGCCTGGCAGATATGTCTGTAGTGATTGGAACCAGGTGGACCTTGTTGACTACGTGGTCCTTAATTGGGGTTGTTGACCCGAGCCAATCAGGAAGGCCTGGCCAACCAATATAAACAGGGGATTTGGTTCAGGGGACTGACTCTGAGCTGGCTGGCATAGCCAGTGTACTGTGCACAAGTAAATAAAGGATGACTTGGTGATGGGATACCAGCCTCTGTGCAGTTATTTCAGTGCCCTTCTGGATTCAGCCAGCTTAGTTGCTAATACTTAACCACTCTTGGTGATGGACATTGGTCCTTAACCAAGAGAACACATTCTGTATCCTTACCATTATCCATCCCAGTCTTGATCCAAGATGGTGGCACAGAATGACACTTCAAACCCGAGGTCATCCGCTCCATCCATTACTTCTTCTCCTTTTCTTTTATTTTTCTCTTTTATATTTTTTTCTCTCCTCTTTCTTCTCGGTGATGGCCTCAGCGTGGACTTGGGGAAAGGTGTCCACTCAGTCTGGCATGGCAGTCCCTCAGACTAGCATAGTGGTCTCCTGGCACCTGGCTTGGCAGTCCCTTGGCCTGGCGTGGTGGTCTCCCAACCTGGCAGGTCGTCCTCTTGGCCTGGTGTGATGGTCTCTTGGTGGCACATTGCGGTGTCTCAGCCCAGCATGACATCACATGGATTTCTGGCCTTGAGGTGATTCCAGAGCGGATGCCGTGGCGTGGCGGTCTCCTGGTTAGGCATGGCATCCTCTTGGCCTGGCGTGATGGTCTTTCAGGGCCCATGGTAGTCTTTCAGCCTGGCATGGCCTCAGCATGCACTTCCAGCCTTGAGTTGATTCCAGAGCAGTCTCCTGGCCGTGAAAGCCTCAAGGGGAAGCCCGGCATGGTCTGGAATCAAGGCCCAGTGAGGCCTGGTGACTAGGTGCCAGCATGGATTTGTTTGGAAGGACTGCTGTTCTGAACTTTTTATTTCTCTATTTACTAATTTATTCCTACAGTCTGTAATGCTGAACTTTTTATTTCTTTATTTTTCTGATTTTTCTTCCTAAGAACTTGTACCAAAGAATCTGTACCTAGGTACCTTGTACCTAAGTTGGTGCCGTAATTGGCAACTTGTGAACTTTTTCCTGTACTCATTTCAGTACATGTGACAATAAAGCTAATTCAATTCAATTCAGTTCAGTGTTCCTGTCGAATGGTGCTCAACGTGGAGGATCACTGTGGGTGACCGGTGTTTCGTAATCAGAGTGTTCTGTGTTCATGTTTGGTCTGATCGTTTAAACCTCCAGGATTCAGTCTTAAAAACTCAGGTTTTCTGAAGCAGCCATCTCCTGACTGTACACCATTGTCTTACTACCTCTGCTGAGTCTGTCCTGTTAGTGGCATACAGCATTCCCAAGGATTGTAATGGAGGATTCTGGGACATTTGGTCTGAGGTATGATATCATGCACCAAAGTAAAAGAAGTGACCCTTGTTAGGATTCAAACATCCTTGGAGATCATACCAGTGTTCCTCTGGTTCCTCAGGAGCCATTTTTCATGCTTTGACAGATTATACTGCTGCAAACCTGGTTCTGTCTTCACCGGTTATTTTCCAACAGGCTTTACAAGCACTGGGCCATTGGATGATAACCTAAAGTGTAGTTTTCCTTCCTTTACTCAACTGACCATTTTACAAAATTGGGCAGGCCGATACCACCAGCCCTCGGCTCAGAATGAACCCGAGACCTTCCTGGTCAATGGCAGCTAATCGCTCACTAAATTTGCTTAGCTGACCTGATGTTTTTGCTGTGTGGTTTTGCTTTACTCACTATAATAGGGTGTTAAAATAAGAGCAATTTGATCTTCCTAAGAGCAAAACAAAAATTCCTTCCTTTAATTCATTTATTTCATTGGAGTGTGCTCTGGCACAAATGTTAGTCCACTGTTCTGTCTGCAAGCTGGTGTTACTGTTCTTGGCACCTAAGTACCTTTTGGTCTGGAAAAGCAAGACCCAAGAAGTATGTTCTTTTTAAGGCTTGCAGTCGATATTTAGTCCATTAGTTTACATATGGAACAAAATAGATGCAAATGTCTTCAGCTACAATGTTTAATCAATACAAATGCTGGGTAAAATCCTAACGGCATTTCATAAATTTAGAGATAGAAGCAATTACTTTAGGAAGGGAAATGTTTTCAGTAATATGATCAACTAAGTGATATAATCAATAACATAATACAACAACCTCAGAATCTACCTTCAACCAAAACAGTTTGCTGGATTTTATGCCTTGGGTTTAAAAAAAAGTTCAGCATGGTCGCCCAGGTATGGGAAGGATATTATTAAGCTGGACAGGGTTAAGAAGAGATTTACCAGGATGTTTCCAGGTATGGGAGGTTTGCATTATAAAGAAGGGCTAGATCAGCTGGAACTTTTTTCATTGGAGTTTAGAAAGTTGAGAGGAGACCCTAATGAGGGGTATAGATAGAGTTAATGATAGTTGTCTTTTCCCTAGAATGGGGGATTTCAAGACTGGGGGCACATTTTTAAGGTGAGAGGAGAGAGATTTATAAAAGATGTGAGGGGCACTCCTTTTTACACAGAGGGTGGTTTGCTTGTGGAATGAACTTCCTGAGGAAGTAGTGGATGTGGATACAATTACAATGCTTAAAAGATATTTGGATAAGTACATGAATAGAAAAGGTTTGGAGGGATATGGGCCAGAAGCAGGTAGGTGGGACTAGTTTAATTTGGGATTATGTTCAGCATGGACTGGTTGGGTCCAAGGGTCTGTTTGTGTGCTGTATGACCCTGTGACTATGAGAATGAGCGGGAACTGTGTGGACAAAGCAAAATCAAAGGATGAGAATAGCAAAGAACTATGGGAAGAGTAATTGGGCAAAAAGCTGAAACAGACAACTGCGAAGATGGGTTAAAAAGAGAAAGTAAATACATTTTTATCTTGAAAGAAGATATGACTGAAGGTGTGTGACACTGTGCAGTTTGAACAACTAAGATTCTGAAGGGACTTAATGAGGATGTTTCCCCTCAGAACCTATATCGAGGGGGCACAGTTTAAAGATAAGCGGTCTCCCATTTAAGACAGACAAGAAATTGCTTCTCTTCAGAAGGTTGATAGTCTTTAGAATTCCTTCCACATAAAGCAGTGAAGGCTAAGCCATCGAATATACTCAAGGTTTATTTAGACAGATTTTTGATTTGCAAGAGAGCTGTAGGTTTTGAGGAATAGGTAGAAAAGTTAAGGCCACCATCTGATCAACTATGATCTTGCATACATTTTTATCTTTAAAGAAGATATGACTGAAGGGGTGTGACAATGTAGTTTGAACAAATGAGATTCTGATGGAGCTTGACAGGAATGTTTCCCCTCAGAATCTCGAACAAGGCCACACAATTTAAAGAGAAAATACAGACTCCTGGAGCTGAATGGCCTGGTCCTGCTCCTGTTTCAAATGGTCTTATGATTTATTTCACATTCTTTAAAGGAGTTCGGGAAAGCTAGTCCTACATTGATTTAACTGTCCAAAATCTCTGATCCAGGGTGAATATCCATTCTCCAAGAGTTCCTCTTGTCTTTACAGATTGTAGTACAGTATTGGAAAGATAAAGCTGTTCACACAGAACAATGATTGCTATTGTTTCTTTTTCATATATGAAATTACTACCTGATTTAACTTGCTGCATTACTTGATATGAATCCCCCTTATTAGCTCAAAACAATTATGTGATGTCTTTATAGATGCTTTGTGTCTGAGTTCTCACAGATGAGTTTCATGTCAACTAGTTTTACTCAGAAGTGAAGGTGGTGTATTTAATATCAATGCTTTCATGATTGTTATACTGTTTACTCATTACATCCAAGTATTAGCATAAGCTCGGGTACACGTATCTATTTTCCTCTTTTGTTCAGATTTTAATACTTAGGTCAGCAAATGATTAGAGTACTGTGGTATTTATCACACATTAGCAATATTTAATTGAACACCCTATCAAATTCATGTCCACTTAATTTTACACTTACAGTTAATCAGGTGCATCTGCAAAAATGTTATTTCCCTTAGAGAATGGTATTCTGGGTAATCTCCATGTGTTGTCAATTAAGCCTTTAACCAAACGTTGAATTTTGGTTTTCCAGATGAGAGGAACAGTAAGTAACAGTTAGTGTTGAAATTAAGATCATATTGTATCCTCTGTTGATTAACACAGTGTGAACTTCTTTTGAACTCCTTTACTTACACATTCATTGCTTTTACTTCACCATTTGAACTCTGGACTCAATTGTTAATGGAAAATGAATTACTTTACGAAAGGATATCCAAAAGAAATTCTTCTGAAACATCAATTTTGGTGGGATCTATTTGCCTTGTGAAGTCTGAAGAATCTGCATATCATTTTTATTGACGATTTTGTATTTTTCAAGAAACCTTTAAAATTATCAGATTACCAGCTTTTCTCAGTGAGGGTGTGAGGAGACGGTGCAAGCTGCATGTTCTGAATTTAGTTCGCTGTTGGGCTGGGCTATTTTTGTCTCAACTGAAATATGTATTTTATTAGTGTTAAATATCCATTCAGTGAAAAGTGTACAAAGAGAAGCTCCTTTGCTGTATCCAGTTTCAGTTTACCTGTGCTTAAAATCAGGTTTACCAAGTTGTCGTCTTCCTGCTTTCGATTGCAATAGCTGAAAATGAACATCCAAGTTTCTTTTGGTGTTGTAAAAGGGTTTGAATTTAATATAACACCCTACTCTGCCCGTTACATGAGAAGATCATGTCTATTTGATTTTCTGTCATTGCCACCTTGACTCGATTTGAATAAATTCTGTGTGGAATGTTGTGGAAAATGTTATGTCACAATTGAAGAAGAAAAACAGTTTCCAATCATGCCCTGTCGTTCTGAAAAATAAACGTGATTTTAATATTTCATATCTCATTATTAAATTGGTTCAGATCTTAGTAAGGTTTTGAGTGAAAGGTATTGAGTGGGAGTCAGCTGTTCACATGGAGGAAGAAAACATCTTTCTAAGAAAGTCTAACAAACCTTCCCACAGGTGAACAAAATGAGCATTGTTAAAGAAGGAAGCTACCTGATTTCATTACTGAGGAATCATTTTTAGCTAAATCTTGGTGTGCAAATACAAGAAACAGTGGTACTTCTGTAAATCTAGGTTATTTCTAAAGACCAATAATCCTTACCTGTGCTTCCACATCTGTTAATTTACGGGTTTGTTCAGCTGTCCGAGTAAGTAGATTTGTTCCAATTTCTAACATGGTTGCTGTATGGTTTTGTACTGCATTCTGCTGGATCTGCACCATTTCACTCTTCATACTGTCTTGAATGTAGCTTTCAAGCTGTAATAGGGGAAATACAGACGTTAGTATATTCCCTGAACTCTGAAATTTAGGTTGAAAAATACTTCCTGACTCCAAAATGATTTCCAACCAGAACTCCAGGATTTGCATCTATCTTCACATTTGATCAACTACCACTGATGTTATCCACAGGAATAGGAGCCATAAAACCCCTGTGTATATCTTTTGATTTGATTTATTACTGTCCCATGTACCAAGGTATGTGCTTTACAGGCAAGTCGTACCATACAAGTGCATCAGGATAACAGAACATGGTGCAAGATATGATGATATAGCTGTCGAGAAGTTGCAGAGAGAGATCAACATTAACATCTATCCTCAAATTCCAACTTGATGCCTAATCCAGCACTTTAAGTGAATGTAGAATGCTGTACTATTTCACTGTGTTTGAAAGAAGAAATTTCTCCTAATCTATTTGTATTATTTGAGGCTTAGTCGTTGTAAGCCTATGTTCATTTGTTCTGTTCTTATCATCTGCAAGAATTCTCATTATTTTGAAAATGTGGATCCTATTCCTCCTCTAAATGATTGTCTCCATGAAAAAAAATCAATGAATTGCTCTTCGCATTTAATTCTGGTTTTTGGAACCCAGTGGGTGCCAGTGAATGGCGACTTTGTGTACTTTTTCTGACAAATAAATGAATCTAATCTAATCTAATCTAGCAAATGTACCAAACAAGCTTGACATTGAAAACACATTATAGAAACCAGAGCAGGTACCCAGCTAATTCAGCTCACTGTTTGCTCTGAAGGCTCAGTCACGTTGGATATTGATCACCAACTTGTCAGGACTTCACCATGGGCACCAGTAATGTACCCACATCCATAGGTATTGGCATCCAATATGTTCCATCTCCTAAGAACCCTTGTGGTACACCTTAAACTATTTCTGCATTTCAATGCTGCTCCCCAAACTTTATTGGCAACTATCATTGCAATTTGCAGTTAGGTTGCTATGCATTTGGAGCACATACCCAACACATGGACTGAATCAGGCTGCATCTCTGGGTACTTTGCTCGCTTTTGTAGCACACAGCATCTCTGCACTGTTTTGCTGCAGCTTTTTGGTCTTTGCCCTCTCAACCAGGGATACAAGGCTGATATTAATTCTAACTTGCCTTGGTGTTTAGTGCAGAAACAAAAGCAGGAAGCTTGTCATGATTGTCAGCAGGCCTCAGTCAAGTCAAGGAGCATAACCTTTGTTCAGGAGATCCTAGGCAGTAAGTCAAGCACTGCCTCTGATACCAGTCCAGGGCTTGGAAATGGTCAGTCAGCCACTCGGGGTGGTCAGAGTCAGGACTGCTCCCCATGTAAGTGGTGAGGAGCTGAAGCCCACCACCCAACTTGAATGTCAAATTTTTGGGGCTGTTTTCCTCCTGGAATGCGAGGCAAGTATTAAAGGAGATGAAAATGGGTAACTTAGCTACTACTTTTGGAGCAGGTGGGAAGGTGTCCCATGTGAGTGAGTAGGCAGTGGAGAGAGCGTGTAGGGTTGATGGTGCCAGGGCTTGGGGTTGGTGATAGCAAGTTAGGTAAGATGCAGTAGTGACAGTGGTAGAACATAAGCCTTGGTGGGAGATGGGTATATTAGCAGAAACAGAGTGAGTGTAAAGTATCGGAGAGAAGTTAGTGAGACTTATGCTGGTGGAGTGGAGAAAATTATTGACTCCTTTTCCAATAGTCCTTCAGGATGATTGAGACTGGGTGGCAAATTCAGACCAGTTTGGCATGGTATGGTGTCATGGCCTTCACTGCTGGTCCTGGTGGAAGAGGACGTCCTGCCTTTGCACTATCCATCTAACGGCCCCTCCAGGTCTCTACCCAAACATCAGGGAACCAATTTTCCTTTATCTGATATGTTTAGGGCAAATGTCAGGATCGTTGCAGGATGGCTGTGGACTGACATTGCTTGTCTGAGTGCACCATGGCTTTTTAAAGATGGCACAGCCACAAAGGACACCAATGAATTCCAGGATATCCACTGAGTGCCAACTTGTTTCACAAACAGCACATGAGATAGAAATAACACAATGTGGAGTTGGAGGAACACAGTAGGCCAGGCAGCATCAGAGGAGTAGGAAAGTTGTTTCGGTTTGGGACCCATCTTCAGAATTCAGGATCCCATTTCTGAAGGAGGGTCCCAACCCAAAGTATCAACTTTCCTACTCCTCTGATGCTGCCTGGCCTGCTGTGTTCCTCCAGCTCCACACTGAGTTATCTCTGACTCCAGCATCAGCAGTTCTTACTATCTCTGACATGGTAGGATAGGACAGGGGTCAGATGTGAGGGCTGCCACAGGAGTGAGGGAGGTCTTTAATGAGGTGAGTTTGGTAAGATATGGTGGGAAATCCTGCTAGGGCTGGTGATGGAAACCCCGCCATAAAACTCCAGCACAACTCTGACTTGGCCAAAAGAACATGAGAATCAGCCCTTGTTTCTGGTCCCATAGCTTAGAGCTTGTAACCCAGGTTTAGCTTAATAAAATACTCTGGATCCCATTCAAATCATTCATCTCCTTTTCAATGTTTGCTTTTCTTCTTGCCAACTCAAGAATATATTTAATTAGGACAGCAAGGTGGAATCAGAATTTTTATAGCCATTTGGAGTTGGTTTAGGCCAACGTTGACAGTGGCCCTCAGCTGGAGTTGCAACATGTGCTGAGTAGAAAACTGAGAAATTTCATTTCCTGATGAGCCAATTAACAAAGTTCCATTTCGAACTTTTGTTAAATGTGATATCAATAATTAAAGTTGTTTGAAGTTAAAGCTTATCAGGTGCATTATACATATATCTTTTTTACTTGACTAAGTTGAAGAGTGGGAAGAAAGTTAATTAGAAGAAAAGTACTAATGCAGACTTTAAGGGCAAATGATTTCCTTCTAACACAAAATTCTGTGAAACTTCAATGTTCTTGAGTGAGAGGCAGGAAGAAAACTCCAGTCCTTTGCAAATGGTCCATTTGTCTCAAGCATAACTTCACGATTTAATGAAATTTCTGCTATTTTTTAAAATTTCCCATAAGAAAGTTTGGCATTAATACTCAATTGAGTGAGACGCTACATAAACTAGCAGCTTTGCACAGGTAGATAGATATTGAGAGACTTTCTATGGACCATTTGCATTTTACAAACTTGATCTCTCTCTGTATATCTGCCAACATAATGTCAATATCTAGGATTTATTTTTAAGATAATCAACATCCTTAAAAAGAAGCAACTAATTCTATTATTATAAGTTAATTTGACATGGAAGATATTTTATAGTTTGGATACATAACATTTAATAGTAACACTTAAATCTACAGTAACTAATCTAAGAAGGTAAATGCAATGCCACTTTAACCTCCCCGCACAGCTAATCTAACATAGACAATCTTCTCAAAAAATGTTTTACTTAACAGCTCTCCTTACTGCTGTTCAAAATTAATTACCATGGTGTTAATGACCAAGTTTTCTGTTAGCAGGTAAATGGCATTACCCTTACTGCAACATGGGTGGTGTATTCAACCTTAATAGAATTGAATATTCTTTGTGGTTTTGTCACTGAAAAGTAAAAGGTAAGGATTCTTGTAACAAATTCTTGCAGTCTGCCATGTGCCTTTCTATTTCCCAGTTAATTATGAGGACAGAATTCTGCATTCTCCTTCATTGTGTGTGATAAACTAATCATCACCCATTGATTAGGAATAACAGCAAAATGGACTATGTTTTAAATGGTGAAAAATTGCAGCACGCTGCTGTGCAGAGGGACTTGGGTGTCCTTGTGCATGAATCGCTAAAAGTAGGATTGCAGGTGCAGCAGGTAATTAAAAAGGCAAATGGAATTTTGTCTGCCATTGCTAGAGGGATGGAGTTTAAAAACAGGGAGGCTATGCTGCAGCTGTATAGAGTCCTGGTGAGGCCACACCTGGAGTACTGTGTGCAGTTTTGGTCTC